AAATACACCACCATTTACACCTTTGTCCTATTATATGCCAATTGTTTAAAATGGTAACTATCATTATGATTTTCTTTTCCATTTAAGAAAATCCATGCATAAAGTGAGTTACTATACTATAAAGTGGGAGAAATTAATATCATAAGTGCTATAATAAAATTCCTTTGGTTAATATTCAGTATGAAAAAAAAAACGATAAGTTTTAACAAGAGACCAAATTAAACAATAAACTAAAGATTAAAAAATAAAATAAACAAGAATAAAGAACTTGATTATTTCAAAATAAAAGAAACGGGCAAAAACTGATCCAAACAAGAAAAAGAAAGAAAAGAAAAGAAAAGAAAAGAAAAGAAAAGAAAAGAAAGAAAGAAAAAAAAAGAAGAAGAAAAAAAGTGCAGGTCCTTTAAAACACACTGGACCATTCTAAGCAACATGTACATCTACTGCAAGTCAAAATGAAGCCAAAGGCAAAGTGTGTGTGAAAGGTGCAAAGCAAAACATGAAAGCTGTCACTCCATCATCTCACAAGACAATGTTTTAGAAAAGTCATGGAATTTTCCACATCCATTCATCTTTGAAAAATTATGTACATGATTAGTCTCATCTATTGGAGAGTAAATTCAAATCTGTGTTTACGTACTGTTGGGAAGGGGGAGGGGAGAGGATTTTGTTCTTATTTTCAGACAGATAATTCATCAGAAGTCGTAACATTGGAAGAGAAGATTTTGGTTCCATTAATTCATGAAAATGTTAAAAATCATACACAGAAATCTATGAATGAATGTACTGCTTATCATTCATAATTCAAAACAAATGTCTTGCAGGTTAATATAACACCTAATGAATCACGAGAGAAGGCAATAAGCTGAGTTCTTTGTAGGGTATCAAACTGACAATCCAAAGTTGTCCTTTTATAATTCAGGTTTTCAGTTATTCAAAACTCCACTGACTTAAGAAAAAATATCCTAATTTCTTTTTCTTGGTCTCTAATAATTGCCTTTTTAACATCAATCTGAAGAGTTCATTTAGTAAATGTAAAACAGATGCAAATTATTTATTTAGAACAGTTCCATTTTCTTGTTAAAAGAAGAAAAAATAAGTGGGAAATTTATGCCATAAAAGAATGGATTGTGATAAGATACACTTAAAACACCAAAGCATGTAATGAAAACCACATACTGTACAAAGAAGTCCAATCTTTGGTGAAATAAAATTATGTTCTTCCTCTTTTCTCTTTATTATGAAACAGGCAGTGATTCATGGTGTCCAGGAAAAATATATGGTACCTTCAAATATTCTGCTCTGAAATCCTTATTCCTTTGGCGATGGTTTAAGGATGTTACTTGTCTGATGACTTTCTCAGGGCTGTCTAGCTGAAACTTAAAGATAAGACAGTAAATCTTGCTGTTTAAGCTAACTCTTAAGCTTCAGTGCATAGTCTTGTCACCGTGCAGGCCACAGCAAATTGCATACATCCCTCATTCTCTAGCTGCAACATTCTTACATGTTTAATAAGTTTCTGAATATTCACTGCAGACTGCAAACTGCTGACTTGTCTGTTTCCACAGAACCTGAACTATTGATTTGGCCTAAAAGTCATATACTATTTACCTGTACAATGCATGTACATATTGACTTTAGGATCAGATCACATGCTCTGAGAAACATACACGTCATGAACATTCTCCTTTTTTTAAGAACTCTTCCACCAGCTAAAAGACCTGAAACATCAGTCTCTGAACAGTAATCATCAAAAGTTAATGACTTCACAGCATATCACTGGCTTTGTATCACTTCCTATAAAATCATTATAGTTATACAGGTATCATCAAACAGATTTCTTTATAAAACACTAGTCAAAACACACCTTGGCAAATTAGTCTAATCTATTTTTTCAACAAAAAATCTTTCTCATAAAATTAATGCCAAAAACATATGCTGTTGGTATAAAAAGCAATTAATCAATGAAATCTGTAAAGCAAATAAAGTTGTATAAAACATACTCTAGACACTGTAAAATGCAAAATATGAAATTAAAATAAGTAAAAAATGCATTATATAATTCATCACTTAACAAAGCATAAGACTTGTTTCTAGATCCAAAAGAACTGATACTTCATCTAAGAAATACAAAAAATAGAAGCACTGTAAATTTTACCAAAAATATACAAAACTTACAAGAACAAATCAATAACAAGTAAACTCAATATGAAAAAATGTCCACACTGTATACCCACACTCTTATCCTAATACATTCAATCTTCCTGAAATCAATATTTCCCTTCCAGGCTTTAAGTTCTGTAATATATCAGCTACAATTAACTTTTGATTTCCCCTAAAAACACATGGGAATAAAGAAATTACAGGATATAGCGCTTGTATGATTCCTCTAGTTTGATACTGAAACCAAAGTAACCATCAGTCTCCCATGACATAAATGAAGTTTTCATAAGTTACTAGTATTCAGCAATACATCTGCTATTGCTGAATACCAGCTGTTATGTTTGTTATTTATGATACACACTTCCTTTCTTATGTCACCTACTCTGCCATTAGCAACCGTACATGATAAATCTTCAGAATACCTTCACATGACCAACCATGACGATATTGGTATCAATGGATTCCTTTAACTCTCTACTACCCAAATATATATACATTATGCTGCAGAAATCCCCTCAATACTCAGAGTCTCGGCCCTGATAGCAGGGGAGGACGTGAATGGTACCAGGGAAATTGCAGAGCAAAATATGAATGATATACAGAGAATTGGCCAATAAATGCAAGGTGCTCCTTGCAACTCCCCAATGGGGAGCTGCTGTCCCTCAACCCCTGCCTGGAAAACAGATAATGCACCATGTACAGTGACTTATCACAGTGATATATTTAATGTATGATATTCATAATTTACCTTGCAATTCCCCTGGTGCTCTTCATGAATAAATATTGGGGTTTGAGGGGGGTTCCATGGCAAATGTAATAGAAGGCAAAAGGAATCCATTGGTACCATCATCGTTGAGATTGGTATTCTAAACAATTACCATCATCCATACCATAACTTTGTTTCCATATCATTAGAACTAAAAGATCAGTCAAATTTCGGTATTGGTACGGGTGCGCTTACCCCACTTTTGACACTAGTTACTGATAAAACACACCAATCTAAAACATTACTTCTCTATATATTATCTCAGCAAATGAATAATAGTGGAGATAATATCTTTTATTCTTTACTATGTATTCCATTCATGATGTTACAATTCATGTTACTGAAGAATTCTCTTGCTATAAGTTTGATTTTATCTTACTGTGAATACTAGGTGAAGATTTGTTATCCCAGAGAGGGGTAAAGGTGTGGCAGCCTTTTTGTAAGATTTTGTAAGGAATATTGAATTTTGAAATGCACACACAACAGCTGTGATTGCAGCAGTTGCTACCCAAAAATCAAAAATGATATTTTGTGGCTGAAATAAAATTTGAAAACATGCGAAACAGAACGAACTCAACTAGAAAAAGTATGAAGCGTACGAAACAGCCACCCGTACTTTTTCCGAAAACTGACCAAAAGTACTCCTAATCCTCAAAGATTCCTTTCTCATACCATTCCAAAGCAGAGGCTAAGAGAAGTTAAGAAGTATCTTCTCACACAGTCATGTAGCAAGTTGAAATACTTGGTGTTTCTGTGATGAGTGGTAATACGTTCATTATAAAGGGCTTGCTGTCATCACCCAATAACACAAACAGAACAACACGCAGAATCCATGAAATAAATGAGCCTGAGATGCCTGACACTTTTAATCAAGAGGCTGAAGCGATACGATGTCCTATTCCATAACTCACAGTGCTCTAAGCCATTTATCAGACATCGGAATCGTGTACCATGACCCTAGCACTTTACTAGTCATATCTTAACAACGGTCTTCAAACCAATTATACCGAATTACTAAGCAAAATCAGTGGTTTCTTGGCGAACTCACCCTCGCCCGCAAGCCAGTTTGTTTACGTTTGTAGTTACTGTTGTTCCCGGCAGAGGGCAGCACGGGAGAGATGCTGTGTATAATGCTTCTCGGCGAATTCAATATATAATGATAATGATTTATTTGTTTATTTCATATCTGGTTATCTTCTACAATTATCCATGATGCACGAAATAATTTCTAGTTATCTTCTACCATTATCCATGATGCACGAAATAATTTCTGGTTATCTTCTACCATTAACCATGATGCACGAAATAATGTCTGGTTATCTTCTACCATTAACCATGATGCACGAAATAATTAGTTGACAATGGGATAGGTGAGAGAGGGAGGATATACGCACATGTGCACACGGAACACACACATACGCACACACATTAGGACTTGAGACCAATATTTGGAGAAAAGATAGGGCAAATTACATGGGGGGGGGGGGGGGTAGCAATATTGACAGGGAAAGGAATTATTATAAAAGAGATAGAGATTCAGCAAGATCCCATACTGATACTAAAAGCAATTAAGGCAGAAACAAACGGAGGAAATGTGATAATAACCACAGAGTACATACCCACTCATACATTAGTGTGGTCACAAGAAAATTACCAAAAACTTATTCAAGAAACGTTAAAGAGCCTGGAAGAAGTTCTACAACTTTGGGAAACTAATGCAAAAGAAATTCTTGTAACATGGGATTTTAATAGCAAAACTGACTGGGAAAGTTTCGATCCCATGGCTCGGCCAGATTCGTGGAATGCAAAATTATTAGAAGTCCTAAATGAATTTTGTCTCTTCCAGAATGTAACAGATCATACCAGGATAAGACGGCTAGATAGACCGTCTATGCTTGACCTAATATATACAAAGCATGAAGATGACCTTAGGGATATGGAGTACTGCCCTCCTCTAGGAAAAAAGTGATCATGCTGTAATTAAGCTGAAATTCTGTCTGCTACAGGAAAAAAAAAAAAATCGTAAGTAAGGAAAGAAAAAGAAGAGAGGTAATTATTGAAGTCTTAAAAAATTATTTGCTTGCATAAACTGGGAAACCCTCCTGAACGAAGAATGCAATATTCTAAATTTTGCGGTCTATAAACAAGGAGTAGAAAATTTGTATTAACATTCAAAACTGAAGCAAGAAAGGGCCAATGTTGGTTCAATGATAAATACAAGAAAATGAGGGAAAACAAACAGCTCCTTTGGAGAAGGTTCAGAAGACATAGATCTCAGGCAGCATATGGAAGGTATAAATTAGGAAGATATAAATATACTCGAACCATGAGGGGGGGATGCGAAATTAGGCTTTGAAAAGGATATAATCAATAAATGTACAAAACAACCAATGCTCTTCTTTAACTACATAAACAGTAAGACTAAAAGTAGAGATCGAATTAGCGCCACCAAAGACAATAACATCGTTTATACCAAGAGGAAAGGTGTGAAATCCTTAATGAGAAATTTCAGTCAGTGTTTGTTCAGGACCCATACTTTGAAATGGCAAGTAACCGTACAAACGTAAATCAGAATATCGAAAATATCACATCCGAAAAGAATGAAATAAAAGACCGTCTGAAATGGTTAGACAAGACTAAAGCAGAAGACCAGATGAGATATCTAACTGGGTTCTGAGGGAATGTGCCGAAGAATTATGTACTCCGTTATTGTTAATATTCCAAAATTCAGTGAGATAAGGAAAACTACCGAAAGATTGGAAACTTGTCAATGTTACATCTTTATACAAGAACGGCGACAAACAAAACCCTCTAAACTATTATAATATGCAAGCTGTTAGAGAGGATAATTAGGAAACAGTGAGTATAAGTACATGGAAAATACGATGTGGTATCAAATAAACAATTTGGTTTTAGGGAAGAATGGTCATGCATAGCAAATCTGCTCTCTTTCTATGATAGAGTTTCTGAAATATTACGAGAAAGAGACGGGTGGGTGGATTGTATATATTTAGACTAAGAAAGCATGTGATAAGGTGTCTCAGAAAAGACTATTATGGAAATTAGAATACCTAGGAGGTGTGAAAGGCAAACTCCTTAAAGAGATGGAAGACTTTCTTCATGAAAGACAGATGAGAACCGTAATTAGAGGGAAGCACTCTACATGGCAACGAGTAACTAGCGGATTACCTCAAGGATCGGTCTTGGCGCCGATTATGTTTACTAATTTCATAAATGATTTAGGGTCAAACATAAGCCCAGGTAGTTATCTGAATATGCTTGTAGACGACGCGAAATTGCAGAAAAAGGATAATAGATGATGTCTCATGCCAGTGCCTCCAAATTGATACCGAGAACTTGGGAGTTGTACATGGAAAATGGAATTTAACACCAATAAATGCCATGTTCTCAGGTTCGGAGACAGTAAAAATCGTCCACTTTACCGATAGAAATTAGGAGACATAATATTAAACCAAGACGATAAAGAAAAAGACACTGAAATAATCATAAACAAGAACCTAAGCCCAAATGATCATATAGATGACAAGGTTCATAAAATGCTAAGGTTGACTGCCAGCATGAAGAGGACATTCGTGTATGTGGACATGGTAAAGAATGTCATTACAGCCATCATAAAACCTTGTCCTATTTATGGTGCAGTGGTATGGAGTCTACACTTAAAAAAGGATATAGATAAACTAGAAAGAGTTCAAAGAGCAGCCGTAAGATGGGCGCCTTCTCTAAGGTATGAGCTACAAAGAAAAGCTACAAAAATAGGTCTTACTGCTTTGGAAGAAATAAGAAAAAGAGGTGACATGATAATGGTGTCCAACTATATTACAGGAAGGGTGAAGTTAGACAGAGATGACTTAGAGAGGGACCAGAGGACACAACAAAAAGTTAGACAGAGATGACTTAGAGAGGGACCAGTGGACACAGCAAAAAGTTGAAAGCAAAAATAGGCGAGAAAGATGCCAAGAAGTTCAGTTTCCCAAACAGAACTACTGAAACATGGAATAATCTTCCAAATAACGTTGTGTGTGGCAAAAATGTGCCTCAGAATAAAAAGTTATATGATAATTCATATATAGCAGACGGGACCATCAGAGCTAAGCTCTCCCGAATTGCAACAACTAGGTAACACACACACATAGAAAACATACTCACAATAACTCTCTCTCTCTCTCTCTCTCTCTCTCTCTCTCTCTCTCTCTCTCTCTCTCTCTCTCTCTCTCTCTCTCTCTCTCTCTCTCTCTCTCTCTTTCACTCTCTCTTTCTCTCTCTCTTTCTTTCTCTCTCTCTCTTTCTTTCTTTCTTTCTTTCTTTCTCTCTTTCTCTCTCTCTTTCTTTCTCTCTCTCTCTTTCTTTCTTTCTTTCTTTCTTTCTTTCTTTCTTTCTCTGTCTCTCTGTCTCTCTGTCTTTCTGTCTTTCTGTCTGTCTGTCTGTCTATCTATCTCTCTCTCTCTCTCTCTCTCTCTCTCTCTCTCTCTCTCTCTCTCTCTCTCTCTCTCTCTCTCTCTCTCTCTCTCTCTCTTTCACACACACACACACACACACACACACACACACAC